TCCTCCTCTGTTCCTCCTCCTGCTCCTCCTACTCTTCTCCTCCTCCTTCACCTTTCCTCCTCTCCTCTCCTCTCCTCTCCCTACCTCAAGTGGGAGCTGGGAGGAAGGAGAAACAGTGGGTGGGAAGAAGTAGAGGCAGAGAATATTTCAGTACCTGAGGCATGGGCTTCTTCAATGTAAATGATGAGAAAATCTGCCATGGGATGAAAGTCTTCTATAAGTCTCTTGAATTGGTCAAATTTGAACATAAATGAAGGTCAAGTGCAACTTCCAAAATTCAGCACCAGTGGCCTGTTGCCTAAAGTAGAAAAGAAACCATCCTAAACCAAGAATCTATTCATTTCCTTTTGCAGTAGCAATTTCCCTCCTATGTTTATTGCTGCCATCATTATTGTCCCTTGAGAAGAGGCCTCCAGTGTGTGTGTGCGTGTGTGTGTGTGTGTGTGTGTGTGTGTGTGTGTGTGTGTCCTAGCAGGCACTGCTTAGTAGGGCTGGAGCCAGTCTCCATTTTTCTAAAAATGAAACAGTTTTGTTTTGTTAAGGGGTCTCAGTGTGCCACTTGCTGACACAGGTTATTAGTGAAGTCCCTAACGGAGTCCTTTTCATGCAGTTCATCCTGTAAGCAGGGCCCCTTCTCCCATATGATAGGGTTGGTAATGCTGCAAGGTAGGTACTTTCTCCCGCTTTTACAGACAAGGAAAGTGAGGCTCGTAGGCTTGCTCCAGGACCAACACTGAGTAGGTTGATGGTGAAGTTCAGCAAACACTTGGGCTTTTAAACTCCTAAATCACCGCTTACTCTATTCCAAATGCATCATTTTCCTCATCCACAATTAGACAAAATAATAATACATACTTGACAGCATTGTTCTGAGGATTAAGTGAATTGGTATTTATAAGGGCTTAAAATGTTGCCTGGTTCATAGTGGATCCTCAATACATACAAGCTGCTGCTGTTAGCTCCTATTTCTGCCCTGAGCTCTGAAGCATGGAGACAGGGAAGGGCCTGTCCAGAGGGTGAAGGATAGGAGTAGAAGCTGCTGCAAAGTGAAAACACAGGCCCCCTTTGTTCAAAAAGTAGGGCCAAATGCCATTCAATTTATTAAAATAGAAAGATTTCCCTTCTTCTGCCATCTCTCTCCTGACCTGGTACAGTGTTTTTTGGTTGCCATCCAATGTCTCACTTCCAAGCATAAGGAAATGCTCAGGATGAAGCCCTGGAGCTCAGTGGGCACATGCTTATGTGCCTGTGGCCTCAGGCCACCAGTTTCCTCCTCCCTCCAGCCATCAGACCCACATACCATGTGCAGGGCAGGAGCACAGAACTGAGCCAGATCCTGCTCTTCCTACCACATACCTTGCCAGCCCACAATGTGTAGGGCCGGGCTGGGTAGCCTGATGGGGGAGGGGAGACAAGCGGCTTTTCCCTCAAGGTAGCTCAGCCACTTTCCAAACTATACCATGCACTAAGTCCAGGATGGAGACAACAGCGCCCATGCCCTGCCACAAGACACTGAGGGATGCCCACACCTGACCATGACCTTCCCCATTCCCAGGTCCAGGCCCTCCCTGGGGCCAGAAGATGACAACAGTCACTGAGTAAGAAGAGGAAAAAGGGCCTTGGACAACATACCCCAGGGGGACAGCAAGATCCAGCTGAAGACCTGTGGGAGATAAGGCTCCCAGTCCTCAGGGAAGGCTCCATGGTCCCTTTGGATTCACTTAAAAAATTCACATTCCAAGATAAAATTATGAAGAACTGCAAGACAGCTACCGTAGAACACTAATTCCCAAGTATGCAGCCCTTCTGAGTATGAGACCCTGCCAGGAAGCCAGGGCAGGAGCCTTGTGTAATTCCCTGGTCTTGATAGGATGGATGGCTCTAGGGACCTGCCAGTGGTTTATTCTGGCCATAGCTGAAACATCATCAAGCCCTTACTGCCTGCCTGATCCTGTGCTGTGACATGGCCGGTTAAGTTTCCACTTTCTTCAGAGTTCCCACTGTCCCTTGAGCGCTGAGATTTTATCTAAACTGTGCACAGAGCTGGGGATATAGCTCAGCGGCACAGCACTTGCCTGGCAAGTGGGAAGTCCTGAGTTCAATGCCTGATATCAAAAAAGAAAATAGTAAAAAAAAAAAACAAAAAAAGACTAAGCTGCACACAGTTTGAAGTATGTTTAATGGAGAGACAGCTAAATAGCAAGTAACATAGAAATGAAGTCATTCCAAATAGTAACAAGTGTTTTGCAAGAAACCATAAAGGAGTGGCCTACTTTATACTGGCCAGGGAGGGCCTTCAGGGAGCTGCCATTAAACCTGAGAAATGAAGGCTAGCAAAGAACCAGCCAGGGGCAAAAGGAGAAGGGCATTTCAGGGCAAGTGAGTCTATGTACAAAGTCCCCAAGGAGGAACAGAGCTTAATTTGTTCTAGGCCTGTCAAGATGTTGACTGGAACTAACCAGGAGGAGCAATAGGATAAATGATTGAAGAGGGAGGAGCCAGCACAGGAAGCTCTCATGAACCATGGCGAAGAATCCAGATTTTATTCTAGGTATAAAGGGAAGCCGTAGAAATATAAATAGCTGCGATTTGGGCTGCCTAGTTCCTAGATCTCCTACCTACGTGAAATTTCCTCTTTGTGGGATACTGATAAAAGCATGTGCCCACCCTTGCTCAGTGGAAGACAGAGGGGCCAGGTCCATACTCTGCACCCAATGGCTGGAACACAGGCACAGATCCCTACCTTTGTGGTCTGATTCCACCCTCCTATCTAGATTATTTTTTCTAGTGCTAGGGATGAACCAGATCTGTGAACATGCTAAGCAAGCACTCTGCCACTGAGCTACATTCTCAGCCCCACATGCACCTTTTGGGACTGGGTCTTATGAACTTGTTCAAGATGGCTTTGAACTTGGAACCTTCCTGCCTTGGTCTCCAGAGTCTCAGTCTCTCTTCTGGCATTACAGCTTGGCCTGCTTCAATTTTTGATTCTTGAATCATTGAGATAATAGAATTCACTTATAGCCCACTGATGTTGCCCCAGTCAAAGGTGGTGATGGGTTTGCGTGACAACCACAATGACAGGAGAATTCAGGTCTAACTGCTGATGCTAAATTAAAAAACTGTCCACACATAGGGCTCTCCTTCTATTGGTTCTGGGGAACTCCCAACTTCTTTATAATATTTTCCTCTGTGTGTGTGTGTGTGTGTGTGTGTGTGTGTGTAACTAAGAAAACCAAAGCGAGTTTGTGTGTGTGTATAACTAAGAAAACCAAAGTGAGTTTCTGTTGCTTGCAAACCAGATCCCTGACTACAGCATTGGATCCCTCAAGGTTCACACTGGAGGACACTCTGACTTCTTGATGGAGGGTGGACTGAATGTGAGAATAACAGTGGAGGAGACAGGAAAGGGGCACTTCAGAAGATGACAGGAGCCAGGCATGTATGTGGGCACAGAGCAGGAGACAGGTGAGTTGATAGGGCTTGCTAACCACTGGAGACTAGGGGACACCTAACTGGCTGGTGGCTTATATGGTCAGCTGTGCATCCCGCTTGTTCTAGAAGGGATTTAAAGCAACTTGTGTAGATGTAGATATAGTTATAGTTATAGATATAGATAGATATGGATATAGATAGATATAGATAGATATTAAATAGAAACTAAGGAAAAACTCATGCCTCCCCTGAAAGGCACAGAACAGGAGGGGAAAGCAGAACACACATACATGGGCTGTAAGGTTCTGTGCATTTACCATAACTGATATGTATAACTCCGAGTTTCCTGGTGGCCAAGTAAAAGGATAAGCCGTTAGTTATAACTGTCAGTCTGAAATGAGGAGAAAGTAAGCTGGCTTCTCTAGGACCCAAATCTCTCCTACCTTTGACTCAAGGCTTGTTTGCATGGGAGGCCCTGGGAGGCGCTGAGTCGGTTTGGCCCTACTGCTGATTGTGTGATTTCACACCTATGTGACAGAGAGGCCCAGGCCTCAGTGGGAGAGGCTCCAAGGGCAGTCATAGACTGGCTGGTCACTGGATTCCAATGACCCCAGCGAGTCACTATTTAAATAAGAAAAGTCCCAACTTCAGGTCAGCATGAGCTCTAAATATTAGCTGTCTGGAATTTTGTTCTTAATCAACAAAAAAATTCAACATCTACTGATTAGGACTGTGCAAGGGACAGAGCCATTTGTTTAATTATTTATAGTGTGGCTGGGTACAGTGGTCAATGTTGAGGACAAAGTTTTAACTTGGTTCCACATTTTCTGGGAATGTAGAGAGGAAGGATGAGAACAGGCTAGTGGCTCTGCAGGGGACTGGCACCCTGCCACATCCACAGGCCACAGGGCAGAGAACCTTGTATTAAGAATGTCGAGTCAGGACTGTCAAATTGTAAAAATGGGTAAAGAGTTCTGTAGTGGGGCTGGACTCAGACCTACCTTCCTGACTGCCAGGCAGTAAATTAGGTCCCATGCCAGGCTCTCGTAGCAGAGAAATCCCATTGATTATCACTAGACAACACTGCATCTGTCCACTTGGAGAGATTTCAGGGGCTGTAATATAGCCAGTTTCAAGTGAACTCTAAGTATCCAGAAAGCAAATCACCTGCGAATTGCTTTAGGCATAAGATGCCAGTTAATCAATATTTTGCTCTGTGTGTGTGTGTGTGTGTGTGTGTGTGTGCCTGCATGCACATGTGCGAATGCTTGTGCATGGGCATGCACAGGACAGGAAGTGGCTGAGACTCTCTCTGAGCCCCTGATGTCTTATGCAACACGGAAAGCTTGTCCCTGGGGAGTCAGAAGGCAAATCCTGGCTTACCAAGCCAATTGCCTCTTTGGGGCTTTTCATCTGAAAAGTGAAAGAGTTGTTTTCAGTTATCTATGAAGGATCTTCCAGGTCTCCAATCTGTGGCTCTAAAATGAGTTTAGAATTTATACCCAAAATATACAGCATCTTAATGGCTTTAGCATGTCTCAAGTAGTTACAGGATGTCTTTCTAATAAGCAGAACTGATTGTGTTAACGCTCCTGGAAAACCCTTCCAGAACTCACTGACACCTTCAGATCACCACTTCTTGGCAAGATGCAGAAGTGCCCTGGGCCATGGTCCCTGCTGGTACACTCAGTTTCATCTTGAGCACTACCCTGCTTCTTGTACCCCACTTCCACTAAGCTGAACAGTGCACCTCTGCATCTTGAGGCTCTGTGCTCCTCACCTCTGTTCTGCCCTCTCCCCAAGCCCTTCTTCACTTACCCCAAGTCTTCCCTGTCCCAACACTCAGCTGTCCTCCAGACAGCATTTCCTTGGCCACCTCCTTATCCCACACAGGAGAGGGTCCTTTCCCCAGAGTCCTCTGCTCCCCTCTTTCACTACTCTCACTCTGGGTCCTGAGCTCTTCCAGGCAGAGGCCAGAGTTACTTGTTTCTTAACTACCAGTGCCTATTTCAGAGGATTTTTAAGTCACAGTGCTGAAAGTGAAACCCAACTTTGTAGCAAAAGACTTGGTTTGGTCCTGGCTCTCACTCTCTTCTTTTTTAAAAATTATTTATTTATTTATTTGTGTGTGTGTGTGTGTGTGTGTGTGTGTGTGTGTGTGGCCAGCTCAGCCCACCAGGGGGCGGGGCTGGCATGTGGTGCTGGGGGATCGAACCATGGTCCCTGTGCTTTGCCAAGCTTGTTCCAAGTAGGTGCTCTAGACCACTGAGCCATCTCACCAGCCCCCTCACTCTCTTCTTGCTCTCTTTCAGTCTCAGTTGGAGTAGCAGGGACTGGAGACAAATGGAACTCTTTCTAACTGAAAGTGGACAGTCAAGCGATGCCAGTGAATTCTATGAAATGGCCCTGAGGCAAGTTGGTTTTCAGGGAACTGGTCTTCATATGAGTGACATTCATTTGGCACACTGTCACAGTGCCTGGCACATAGCAGCCCTACCATAAAAGTTAGTTGTTATTCTCATTGCTGTTATTATCAGTGATTATATGATGAATAGTCACTGAGAAATTGAGATCTTTTGTGTACTGTGATTTAAAATCATGAATGAGCAAAAGAAAGAACAAGAGAAACTATTGTCCTTTTCTCTGCTTAAAAGGCTCTTCCCATGCTACAAACATCCTACTCATCCTTCAAAGCCTAGTTCCCAAACTGCCTCTTCCAGGAAGCCTTTTTGAAGCCATGTCTTTGTAGCCTCCTCCATCCCAGAGGACTATGAGGATTTATTGTATGGAGCCATAGAGTCCTTGAGCAGACTCATCTGAGGGCCTGGCACATGGGAGGTGCCTTGCTAGGAATGCTTACTAAGGCACCCTGGGATTCTGGGGCTGACCTGCCCCACACTGGCTCTGTTACCTCATCCTCTCAGGTCTCCGTTCCCTTCTGTGATGAGAGGCTTGGAGAAGGTCAGTGATTCCCAAAGAGTGTTCTTGGGAATCGGAACAATGAGCATAAGCATCTCAGGTAGGGAGAGGGGAGTGTGTGTGTGTGTGTGTGTGTGTGTGTGTGTGTGTGTGTGTTAGCAAAGGCAGTCAGGGCCATGTTAAGCAATTTTTTTTTCATGTTCTATGTATCTACTTTAAGCTTCAGAGTTTCTCGGAGCCTTTTATATACTTATATGTATTATGAATTCCCAGAAGGACAGAGCATGCGAACTCTATGGTACAGCATATCTGGGGGGAATGGGGTTTCAAAGAACATATTAGGAAAACACTAGATTAGCCAGCTGCCTCCAGGGCCTTCTGTGTTTACCTGCTGCTAGGCCTGGGGCAGCACACTGAGGATGGCTGAGGGAAGTCAGACACAGCCCTCACCTGAGCCTTCCCACTGGGCAGGGAGCTTTGGTGGCCAGATACTAGATAGGAAGAACAGTGTCCAAGGAGGGCTATGGATGGGGAGCCTGCATCCAGAAAGGAGGGAGAGCATGGTAACCAGAGGGATCTAAAGTGTCATCATGGGCCAGCCAGATAGCTCAGCAGATTAAAGCACCTGCTTAGGCAGACTCAGGGACTGGGGTTTGATCCCCAGTGTGCCATCCCAGCCCCAACCCTGGGGTGCAGTGAAACTGCATTTGAGACTGGGAGTGGTGGCGCGTGCCCATAATCCCAGCACTCGGGAGGCTGGAAACAGGAGGTTCACTAGTCTGGTCTGTGTAATGAGACCCTGTAGACCCTGTCCTGAATACAGAAAAAAATTAAAATTAAAATTAAAAATAGTGTCATCATAGACAAGGCCCAAGATGTGTACCCAGAGGCACAAGGGATGTGAACACTTGACCCTACAGAAGGGTGCTCTGGACCAACCACATGACCAATGGGGCACAGACAAGGGACAGCACAAGATAAAGGAGGCCCCACATCTGTCTCAGGAAGTGATTGTGTGATGCGTTGGTGAAACTGGGGGAAAAGTCAGAGCATGACCCCCAAGGACCTTGGATGGCAGGCGGACCCTGGGCCTCACTGCAAATGCAGATTGTGCCTGCAGAGGGTGCTGAGCTGGCGTGTCCTCAGAAAATAGAGTCTGGAAGCCACCTAAGTTTGGATGGGAAGAGAGAGCAAGAAGGGGAGAAGCAGATCCTAGTAAGAGGGAAGCTGTAAAGACAAAACAGAACCGAATGGGGTGGTCTTCAAGAACTCATATACAGGGGCCAGGGAGATGGCTCAGTGCAATAAGCACTTCCCTGGCAAGTGCAGGGGCCTGAGTTCAATCCTTGGTTCTGCTATAAAAAAAAAAGAACTCATATACATCACCCTGGTTTGCCTGGACCGGGTGGGATGGAAAGGTGAGAGGAAGGAAGGGTCATCAAGTGTTTCCTGAGCAACTGCCATGCTCCTACACGAGCTCAGGGTGCAGCAGGATCAGAGCCACCCACACAGAGTCTGCATCGAGTGATGGCAACACACCCAAGTCAGTGCCCACACACAGTAGCAAACTCGGATGGCTTTAATAAAGAAAAGCTTAACATGTTCATCAAGCACATAAGAGGGTCAGCCTGGCCTACAGATATTGGGATGGGTTTCTTGAGAGAAGTGCCCCTGAGCAGAAGCCTGAGGATGAAGACGATTTCAGCAGGCACAGGTGGGCATAGCACAGACCTCATTGTAAGACTGCTATTCAAGGGGCAAAGGTCATAGTGGATGGCTCATGGTTTGAGTGCTTGGGAAGGCACTGATGCTGCTCAGAGAAACAGGATCCTGGAGAATTCCCAGTATCCTGAACCCCCCAAAGTAGCAGTGGAATTCCCAGCCCACCTCTCCATTCCCCTCCAAAACCATGCATCAGGCAGCTGAACATGGAGCAGCCTCCTTACTGTGCATGAAGTTCCAGATGGTGCGCTTCTCTCCTGAGAGGCAGATCACCGGGCAGTCTGGGGCCAGACTCCCCAGCTCAGCAGTCTCCTCCAGCCGCTGCCAACGGACCTTCAGGACAAACCAGAAATACTGGGTGCTAAAGAAGGTCGGGATCCAGTTGTCGTGGCTGAAACGGGGGTTCCTGGTCATCCCAGTCTTCTCGCCCATGGCCAGGATGTTCTTCTTGATTCTCTCTGGAAACAGTATCATTAACACTTTGCCCATGGCTACCTCCATGGCCACCTGCACGAGCACCCAGAGCCTCTTCAGCCATAGCCCTGGCCAGGGCAGCTTCATCTCTGCAGCACAGTTGGCGCTGGCTCTGAGGCTGGAAGACAGGGAGGCTGCATCCAGGCACGTCGGGGTGGAGCTGAGCAAAGGTACAGAACAGAGCAGCCAACCCGTGACAAGAGGCAGGTGTCAGGCTGGAAGGTGTTTGCCTTCCTGTCAATAAAGCAGAAGATTCCAAGCTAGTAGGACAAAGGTCTGCCCTAATTTATTATTATTTCAGGTCCCTTGCCTTATTTTTTGAGATAGCTTTGAATTAGGAGATTGTAGATCTTGAAGTCCCCCTTTAAGTTTTAAAAACAAATACTTAAGATCCACACTTAAAGGGACCCTGTTTAAAGATCATATTGTGAGTGAATAACCTCTAATTTTTCTTTTAATGAGATAAATGTTTCTTTCACTAATGAAATATAGTTTTCTCCTTCATAGCTTTCAGTTGGTGGTTAAGTATTTCTGGAAGCAGAGCCCTCATCAGAGAATAACAATGTAGACCCTCCTGGGGCAGAGACAGACATGGAGTCATTCCCAAGGAGATTTGGGACCTGCAGCCCCTTTCACACCTCTCTGCTGTCTGGAGGTCAAGCTTTAGTGCAGAGAAGGACTTTCCCTGAAGCAGGGATGTCTATGCTGGAACCAGAAGACACAAGCAGTCAGCCAGGCACAGCAGGGAGAGAAATGCTGCTGGCAGGAAGGTCGGGGCACAGGCTGGCAAGCCAGAGAGAGCACTGCCCATGGAAGTGCAGAGTTGGGAAGCTAAGACACCTGAAACACTTCTTTTTGAAAGAGGGAAACTGAAGCCTAGAAAAGGAGAAGTGTCCTGCCCACAGCCAGTTCTGGTCTCAGTAATCTCTAGGTATTAGATCACTCCTCTCCCCCAGGCATTCACATACCTAAGTAGGAAGGGTGAGGTGAGACAGGTGACCTGAACCATGATATGAAGCTGGCTGCCCTCCAAAAAGGTGCTGACCTAGGCTCAGAGATCTAACAGTCTCTACTGCATTAACATTTTATTTATTTATTTGTTTTTTTATTTTTTGGCAGAACCAGGGATTAAACTCAGGCCCTTGCGCTTGCCAAGCACTTATTCTACTGGGCCATTTCCCTGGCTCTTATTTATTTCTTTAGACAGGGTCTTGCTATGTAGCTCACACTGGCCCTGACTCTTTTTTTCAGAACTGGGGATTGAACTCAGGCCCTTGTGCTTGCCAGGCAAGCACTTATTCTACTGAGCCATCCCCCCAGCCCCTTGGCCCTGAACTCTCTATGTAACTCAGGCTGGCCTCAAATTCACAGCAATCCTCCTGCCTCAGCCTCCCCATTGCTGGGATTACAGGCATGTGCCACAATGACCAGCTTATATTAACTTCATTGAGAAGGAAGAAAAAAGCTCCATTTTGGAGCATTTGACAGCAAATGCCACAAAAGTGTAGTATGTGCTTCTTATGTGCAGAGGGGTTTTTGTTTTTTTTGGGTTCTTTTGGCCATGTTCAATTAATTCATACATCCTTGCGTTGTTCAGGCTTTTACCTTTCTCTTGTTTTAATTTTGTTTTTAGGCTTTTATTTTCTAATAGCCCCCCCTCTCTCCCTCTCTCTCAGCAAAATGGAGCAGAAAATGTAGGGAGTTCCCACATATTTATCACTCTCAAACACCCACATCTCCTCTTCATCAACATTTTGTACCAGAGTGGTAATGTGTAATGATCGATGAACCTCAATAGACACAACACAGCAACCTTATGTCCTTAGGGAACATTAGCGTTCACTCTTAGTGTTGTCCATTCTATAGGTTTGGACAAATGTATAATGACATGTACCCTCATTGTAGTATCACGTAGAGTAGTTTTGGAACTGTGACCCCACATCCATTGTGTATGCTCTAGAGCAGTGACTCAAGGACAGTTTGTAGGGGGAGGAAAATATATATATATTTAGAAAGCTAGGAAACCAACAGAGTGTCTTGTTAGGGTTTACAGGCACAGGATTTAGACAGTGTGGGGAGCCATATAGGACAAGCATACACCAGGGTAGTTCCCAAGTCCAGGGTTTCCAGTGTGCTGCTTTTCTGACCCCAAGGAAGCTCTTGTCTGTTGGTCACTAGATATTCTAGGTTCTGTAAACCTAGAGAAAAGTTACAACTAGAAAGTTCTACGGCTCATGTCTCTTTAGTTCCTTTCCTAAGGAACAGTTAATTATTATCAGGATACAAAAGGCATCTTTTCTCTGGAAACCAGGAGGATAGCCAAAGGCTACTTTCCCTCAGGAGGACAGTGGCAGAGACAGAAAAAAAAGGGCTCTTCCTTGGAATACAAGGGAGATGACATTCACTAGAGAATAGATTTTTACCCATCTACAGTTGGTTTCAGTTGCAGGTATCGTTTACAGCAAAGCTAGGGGAAAACTTCTAATGTATTTCCCAGATGTGTGACTCCCAAAATTAGTAATTCTTTTCAGTACTGGAGGTTGAACACAAGGTCTTTGCACTGAGCTATAGTCCTAATTCTTTTCAGTGCTGGAGGTTGAACACAAAGTCTTTGCACTGAGCTATAGTCCTAATTCTTTTCAGTGCTGGAGGTTGAACACAAGGTCTTTGCACTGAACTATAGTCCCAGCCTTTTATTTTTTATTTTGAGGCAGGGTTTTTCTCAGACATTAAGTAGCCAGGCTGGCCTCTGGGCTTGTAATCTTGCTTCAGCCTTCCAGAATATTGGCATTACAGGTGTTTACCATCACTCCTAGCTCTGAAATTAGTGATTTCAAAAGTCAACTAAGGGCAAATGGAGCTAGAGGGTTTAAGATCTTCCATGCTAACACTTTCACTATCCTAAAAATCTCTTATTCTCTATTCTTTCTGCATACCCCAAGTCCCCAGCAAACACTGATCTTTTTGTTGTCTCCATAGTTTCACCTTTTTGAGCGTATCATATAGTTGGGATTATACAGTACAAGCTTTTCCAGATTGGCTTCTTTTACTTAGTAACATGCAACTAAGTTCCTTCCATGTCTTTATGGCTGGATAGCTCATTTGTTTTTGTGTTAAGTAATGTTCCATTATCTGGACGTACCACTGTCTATCCATTCACCTAACTGAAGGATATATTTGTTGCTTTCAAAATTTGATGATTAGGAACAAAGCTGCTATAATTTTAAAATACCATGTGCAGACTTTTGTGTGGATATATGTTTTCAACTTATTTGGAGACACCAGTGAGCATAATTGCTGGATTGTATCGTTAAGAGTATGTTTAGATTTGCAAATAACCACAACACTGCTTTTTAAAATGGCCCTAGTGGGCTGGGGATATAGCTCAGAGGTAGGGACACAGCTCAGTGGCACAGCACTTGCCTAGCAAGCACAAGGTCCTGAGTTTGACTCCTGATACCAAAATAAATAAATTAATTAATTTAATTAAATGGCCTTCTGCTTAGGCAGAGTGCAGTGGCCAGGATTTGATCTCCAGCCTGCTGTGCCAGCCCTACCCCTGGGGCACGCTGAAATGGAGATTGCAACTGCGTGTGGTGGCACACACCTGTAATCCCAGTGCTTCGGAGGCTGAAAACAGGAGAATCACTGAGTCCGATCTACGTAGTGAGAACTTGTAGACCCTGTGTTAAATACATTAAAAATTTTTTAAAAAATCAAATGGCCCTATTTTGCATTCCTCCCTAACAATACATTAGAAGTCTTACTGTTCCATATTTTTGCTAGCATTTAATATCAGTATCTTGCATTTTTGCCATTCTGACACGTGTGTGGTGGAGTTCATTTTAACTGCCATTCTTTAACACCCTATGAGATTAAGTATCTTTTTATATATAGATGCTCCTCAACTTATGATGAAGCTATGTCCTGATAAACCTCTTGTAAGTTGAAAATATCATAAGTTGAAGATGCATTTAATACACCTGTGACTGGGCTGGTGAGATGGCTCAGTGGTCTAAAGCACCTACTTAGAACAAGCTAAGCAAAGCGCAGGGACCACAGTTCAATCCCCAGCACCACATGCCAGCCAGCCCCGCCCCCTGGTGGGCTGAGCTGGCCACACACACAAAATAAATGAAATTAAATAAATAAATAAATAAATAATCTTAAAATAAAAAAAAATTAAAAAAAAAATACACCTGTGACTTACTGAAGAGAGAAGACCCACCTGGGTGGCACCATTCATTAGGCTTGTAGCCTAGATGGCATAACAAGGGAAAGAAGCAAGTCTTGCATCTGCTTTTTTGGGAAGCTCCAGTCTTTGCTGTCACCTTTGGAAATCCACCTCAATGCTTCCAGTGCAGATTCTTCGGCCTTCCAGTGCAGACTCTTCAGCCTTCCAGCATTACAGACCCTTTCCACAGCACCCCCAAACAGTGATGGTAAAAAGAAATAGTCACAGTAGGCAGAACTTTGGCCAGTATACCTGGTCATACATTTTGGCTGGAAGGAAAAATGGCTAGATGTACAACTATATGCTGATTTATGGGCTATAGCCAATAGTCTGGCTGTCTGGTAGGAGATTTGGAAGGAACATGACTGGAAAACTGGTGACAAAGATATTTGAAGAAGAAATATGTGGACAGAACTCTCTGTGCAGGGAAGGGATGGAAAGATATTTGTGTCCCATGTAAGTGTTCATCAAAAAGTGGCTTCAGCAGAGGAGGACTTTAAGAATTAAGTGGATAGACGACTTCCTGCATGGATAGAAGTCAGCTTTTTTCTTCAGCTAACTCTGTCTTTACTCAACAGCTCATCAACAAAGTGACCACAGTGGCAGGAATAGAGGTTATGCATGCGTTGAACAACATAGATTTCCACTCAAAAGGATGACTTGACTACAGACACTGCTGAATGCCCAATATGCTAGCAACAGAGACCAACCCATCTGTATCATTCCTGATATGACACCGTCTTCTCAGGTGGTCAGCCTGCAACCTTGTAGCAATGCTGAAAATTAAGGAGGGCAAGTTTTATTTAGTTTATAGTTTGTAGAGGTTTCAGTCCATAATTAGCTGGCTCTAAGGAAGACTGGCATAGCAGAGGGGCAATAGTTCATATGGTGGTGGA